TACTACGATTATAGCTGCCCTCGGACATGTAAGAATATCACCATCATAGCTGCCCTCCAACATGTAGGAATACTACCATCATAGCTGCCCTCCAACATGTAGGAATATCACCATCATAGCTGCCCTCCAACATGTAAGAATATCACCATCATTGCTGCCCTCCAACATGTAAGAATATCACCATCATAGCTGCCCTCCAACATGTAAGAATATCACCAACATAGCTGCCCTCCAACGTGTAAGAATACCTCCATCATAGCTGCCCTCCTACATGTAAGAATACCACCATCATAGCTGCCCTCCTACATGTAGGAATATCACCATCATAGCTGCCCTCCTACATGTAGGAATACTACCATCATAGCTGCCCTCCTACATGTAAGAATATCACCATCATAGCTGCCCTCCAACATGTAAGAATATCACCATTATAGCTGCCCTCCGACATGTAAGAATATCACCATCATAGCTGCCCTCCAACATGTAAGAATATCACCATCATAGCTGCCCTCCGACATGTAGGAATATCACCATCATAGCTGCCCTCCAACATGTAAGAATACTACCATTATAGCTGCCCTCCAACATGTAAGATTATCACCATCATAGCTGCCCTCCTACATGTAAGAATACCACCATCATAGCTGCCCTCCTACATGTAAGAATACCACCATCATAGCTGCCCTCCTACATGTAGGAATATCACCATCATAGCTGCCCTCCAACATGTAAGAATATCACCATCATAGCTGCCCTCCAACATGTAAGAATACCACCATCATAGCTGCCCTCCAACATGTAAGAATACTACCATTATAGCTGCCCTCCAACATGTAAGATTATCACCATCATAGCTGCCCTCCGACATGTGGTATCCAACCCTGTACCTATAGTGGCTGTTATTTCACCACAGTCGGTGTATATTTGTTTGTGTTTTGCAGGTGTCAAACCCTGTACCTAGAGTAGCTCATCCTGACTGGCTGCATAAAAAGTTACTGGAAAAAAATGATATCTTTAAGCAGCAGAGAATTAATGAAATGTTTGCTCCAAGACAGAAAAAAAAGGTTGTATTGGCAAATGAAGTGACATGACAATAAGGCCAAAAACAAAACAAACTTATGTTGCCCTCAAGTCTGAAAATTGAAAAATTGGGTCGGTCGGGCGAATTTTTTTAAACTCGTGAAAACTAAGGGTATCGTAAATAGTCGAGGTATATGGGAATCAATCAAACGCATACTAGATATTAAACACAAAAATCAAAGTTTTGTTTCTTTCAGTCTTTTTTAAATATTTAAATACAGATCAACCCGAGGTTCAAAGTCGCCACTTATTCCCCGGTGACCCCGGGGATCAAACAACGGTCTGGGATCGTAATTTTTAGAGGAAACATTTTTTTACTGTTTAAAATAGTGAGTTTTTAATATTTGGGCCTATTAAATAAAAAAAATAAAAAACTCAATCCGATATTTCATATTTCTCGATCGGTCGCTGAGGGCAACAAAACAATTTTTTTTTGGGCCTATCTGTATTGCTTGGAATTGATGATGGCACTGTTTTTCTCAAACTCCCTTACCTCAATACCCATGCTGGTGGCAAACCTGAGAACCTTCCTGCAATTTTGATTTGGCTCACTTGTTTGTATCTTATTCTTTTTAACACTTAATCAATGTGACATGTAATCAATTACCCTTCTATTGTGTTGTATTGCAGGAAGAGATGGTTACCGAGGATTGTGGGATAGGTGATATTGAAGATAGTGGAACTGTACGACAAACCACACAAAATACAATTGTTGCATCTGTGTCAAGGAAAAGACGCCTATCAACGGATGACTCGCAGTTAACACAATCATGGAGGGATGTACTTGGTCCAGCTCCACCACTTGGAAAATCAAGGGTATGAATTTCAGTCAGCCAGAATTAATGAATTTGATAATGTTTATTATCTAAAGTTGTACAACAGAGCTTGTGTGGTATGTGACTGAGAGACATAAAGTTTGTATTACTGTAAAATACTTTATTTTAGCTGGAATTAATTTTCGCAGAAAAGACTTTTTGTGTGTTTTGTATGGAATGACAAGTGCTTATCATAGGTACGTGCCAGACTCAAGAAACGATGTCAGGAAACCAACCACCCAGCGGTTGTATTGATTTTTGGTCATTTTATTTTAAAATATAGGAAAAAAGTATATTCGCTAGATTTTATTTTCATTGCATCACTCCTTCAGCGAAAATAGCGAAAATTAAGTATTTTACAGTACATTTAAAATCACATTTTATTTGATTACATGAATTTTTTCATGCTTTTGATTTTTGTTTAAAAAATGTTATTCAGTTTTAATTTTTAAATCCTGTAACATTTTGGAAGAAATGTTTGAATTCTATGCTACATTATTTTTGTGACTGACAGGAAGAAAAGCAAGTCTGGTTAGCTTACCATAAAAAGAAGTGGCAGTTACAAGCTAAGCAAAGACAGAATAGAAAGAGACGAAGGATTGATTATGGTGATGACACTGGAGGCGGTGCTATAAGGAGTGGTCCAAATACAGGCATTGGTGGATTCCTTCGTAAAACAGCGAGATCTATTTTAGATATGCCATGGCAGATTGTGCAAGTAAGTTTACTTACCAGCATTAATTATCAGTACTAACTTGTTTCCACATTAAAACATTTATAACTGACTAGTCCGCGGCGACGTAAAGAGCTCTCTCTCTCCGTTTCCTGTATTGACCTTGCTAATATCGACTAGATATCTGCTCGTCATGTGCGTACATTCGCCGTACAGTAGTGCTAGAGAAACGTAGACCTAACAGTAAGTTCCAATCTGTACACCATGGCCCAGCAAATCTTGTAGAAACTTGACATTACTAAGTTACTACTACTCAGTGTGCCGACCACCACACCTCAGCTAACCTAGCTGAACGCAATAGTTAATAAAAAAAGTAGCATTTACAGCAGAAATATCCTGCGTATATGTTGTACATACGATTTTAAGCTGACAATAATTACATTCTGTGACTGCAAATTTTCAGTAAACTACCTACGATTGAACACCACCTTTTAAAAGTCATCAAATTTACGTTACTCACTTGTCAGTTACAACACAATGCGTTTCACACGACTTGCACAGGCTTCAGTTCATAACTTGATATCTGCCAGCATCGCATGGCTATGATGGCAAACTACTACTACACACAATATTTAGTGTGTTTACTCTTCGCTGCTTCGTTAGCAAGTAGCCAGCCAAATGCCTGTCTTACTCGTCTCAATGTATAGGACCAGGCGGCCACCACTCGACCAATCACATTACATTACTACTCCACCAGGTGCTATTTAACCAAGCCTAAAACACCACCACCAAAATGTGACATACGTCATCTGAAAATTAATACAAGCTGCCTGCTAAAGCCTCCACAGACTTATGTTGAAGTAAGTCAACAGGCAATTTAATTATTAATTCTTTCTCAGATTGCAACAACCAATAATATTGGTGTTTTCAAAGCATGGGCTTTGATTGGTCATGATCTGCATGCTATAAAGCTGAACGTACCAAGAAGATTTTACGTCAATCAAAGAACACCCAAGGAATCTACTGAAGGGGCATGTAAGTTGTAGTTTTGTTTGAAAGATTATGTGCAATTCAAGGTTGCGATGCGTTTCTAATCTAATATCATCCATTTCATATTTGTCAGTATGGAGAAAAGTTAATAGGACTTTACCACGTTCAGCCTTAGTGTTGAATCTATACGAGTACAGTGTTCCAGAGTTTCTCTACAGACAGCATGCCAAGTAAGTGTCATCTGGCTTCATTTATAATGTCATCAATTCATTATTCTGCAAAATTCATTATTTTAATTTTTTTTTTATATATTTTTGTTCCACAGATAGGATGATAGATTTAGGTTCCATTTAACCCAAAGATAGAACATATTATTATACATCTGTCACCGTAATGCCATACATTACAGCATGTTGTAAATTTGCGGTATTTTACGGGGTATTTTCATCCTACTATATTAGGAAATGCGAATTCCAAATATGGAATGATTACCCGTGTAAGCGTCTAATAACAATAATGACAAACATGGCTGCCACCAGGGTTTGACCGAAATCCACACAAAGAAGTTCGCTGATTCTGTTCTAAACTTTTTTGGATTTTGGCATTCCCATGGTATAACCTTGGAAGGAAAAGATGTATAATAATAAGGTTATTATGAGGATACCTCAAAGTATGCACTCAGACAGTACGCCGTCGCATCAATCTCTGCTGTGTGTCGGTCGAAACTCCCGCTGTACTGTCTTCATGCATATTTTGAGGTATCTTCGTAATAACCTCATACTATATACTGTTCTTTATTCATGATCATAAAAAATCCCATGAGTATCTGTTAAACTGGGATCACGGGGGGGGGGGGATTTACAGATATTATCTACATGTACCTTGTGTCTGGTTCAATTACTTACCATA